GATAATTAGAATTAATGGGCGATGCGGACCACACTTTGCAACAAGATTGGTGACAATTTTTGAGCGAAGGACGCTTAATCGAGAAAATTTCTGGAAATACGCCGTGCACACGTGGTCTTGGTAATGACGCATGGGCCGGAAGTTTATTGTGGCAATTTAATTGGATGTTAGAATAATACCAGCTCTAATTATTTTCTTCTTAATCTAACGGATTTAATGAATTGACGAAAATATATTTCCATTTATTGTAACAATTTATACCGTTGAATTTTAAAATTAATTTATTTTGGAATTATTTTAATGTTTTAGTATAATACTGAATAAAAGGAATTACTTCAGCAAATGCTGAAACATTTAAAAAATAAATATCTATATTATGTAACACAACCACGATTCTCCTACCCCCCCCCCCCTAAACATAGGCATAACAATGCTTCAAACCACCTCTCTCCTATTTATAGTGGTACGTAATTTAAGGAAGAGCCCTAATAAAATTTTCAAGAAGTTACATCAAACATTCCAAGTTTTCTTATTAAACACAGTGCTCCATGTATAGTGCAACCACTCTCGTCACATATTGCAATTACTCTCAAATCAGGCATATTTCCAGATATATTCAAAACAGCAAAAATTAAACCATTGTTTAAAAAGGGCAATGAACTACAGGCCTATTTCCCTGTTATCAGGATTTTCAAAAATTCTGGAAAGACTTTTCAATTATAGACTCAAACAGTTTCTCAATGCAAATAATGTTCTTACAAATGCACATGGCTACAGGAGTAATAGATCCACAGACACAGCATCTTCTCCTTTTTAAATGACATTCTTGTTGCACTAAATCAGAAGGAAATTCCCATTGGCCTTTTCTCAGATTTGTCAAAAGCCCTTGACATCATTGACCATCATATACTTTTAAGAAAACTAGAAATGCTAGGGATTCGAGGCATTGTAGGCCAATGGATCAAATCATATTTATGAAATCGTAAGACAAATAGTTGCCCTCCAACACACTAAAGAAACAAAATCTCCTCATACCTACTCCTGTCCCTCAAATAATAAATTGTGGAGTCCCAAAGGATCCATCCTTGGGGCCAATACTATTCCTTATATAACATAAATGACATGCCTTTGGCTTTAAGGAACTCAAAATAATTTTGTTTGCAAATGACACAAACATCATCATCAAAGCAAAAACACAACAATCATTAGAAAAGAAACTCACAAAACTTTGCAAGCACTAGTAAAATGGTTTCAAGACAACAAACTCATCATAAACACCAGCAAGACAGTCTCTCTAAATTTTCATGAATCCTCAATCTAAAGAAAAACTCTCACAGCATTTGCTCATAAACAATAATCCTGTACGATATCTCATGAAACTTACCTTCCTCGGACTAACAATTCAAGAAAACCTAAAATGGAACACTCCACATCTCAAATCTTAACAAGAAGCTCAGCAAATCTTGCTATGACCCTATACACCTCTCAGGTCAAGCTCGAACATTGAGACACTTCGAACAATGTATTTTGCAAATGTGCACTCACACCTAAAATATGGAATAATATTCTGGGGAATTCTACCATGCAATGTACATATTTGAATAGTGTTCTTCACAAAGAAAATTCTCATGGAAAACAAAGACACTTTACTTTAAATTCTGATGTAGCAAACTACACACACCCGTCAAAAGGATAACCTACACGTTCCCACTCTGAAACTACAACTTTATCAAAAACGTACCCTAATAGAGGGCATTACACTTTACAAGAAATTAGGCAATGATACTCAAAGACATAAACACAATTCATACATTTAAAAGTAAATTGAAAGCTTTCCTGCTTAACATGTTCTACAGTGTAAAGGAATTTTCAAATAACATTTTCCCTTAAAAAATAATAAATAAATAAGAATTTCTTATTCCAATTAGACTTTCTGTTTCATGTGAACTGTTTTCAAGCTGAAGCAAAAAAAAAAACAAACAAAAAAAAACAACTGCATATCACATCCATGTGAAATAGAAGAAAAAAAACTGGTCAAAAACTTGCCTCCTCACCTTGTCACGTTAATAAATATAGAAATGTACTACATTGTTAAATTTGATGTAGTTGCAATCATATTGATATGTATTAATTAATGTATATTATTATAAGTAGTGCGATAACAATATCATATTGAATGTTATTATTAGCAGATAATTTATCTACTGTATAATATTTTAATCTAACTGTAACAAGTATTTGTATTTCTAGGCCAATGACCCCATCCTCGATCAGGTTTTGTTCAGTTTCCCTGATCCTTTGAACAAATGCTGAGATGGCCCCTTGTTTGCTCCTGAACAGTAATATAACTTCGCTCTCTCCACCCAAGGTATCATATTGACTCATCATACACGATTGTAATTGTATATGTGACTCAGTAAATATTATTATTAAGAAGCATAAAGTACCAAAATTCAAGTGCTACGTTTTAGTTCAGATTTACTACTTTGCTTTATGTTAAAACTGGATAATAGCACAATGAAATTAAAAACATCTATTAAGTGTAATATGTTAAGTCTTATTCAGTGCTCATTTTAATTATCATTTTATTTATTATAAAATTTTCTGATTCTAATAATTTTGCAATCAAAGGGGAGTTTGATACATTAATTTAATTTTGTAGCGTAGATGAATTAAGACACCAATGAAATGTGATAATACATGTTAATGTGTTTTCTAAAGTAACCCAGGTTGCTTCTATGGAGACTTCAAATTATTTATATATTGTACATAGGAATATGCTCTTTAACATTAACTACAAGAAACAACAAAAAGTGCACTTCAGAGCATGTTTTCAGGCCCACTTCTTTAGGCATGCTCACCTGTGGGGCATCTATAAAAGAGATTTCCTTTAAAAATTTTGAGTGACCATGTAGCTTTATATAATATAACATTTTATTTTCTGGGGACATATTCAATCCTGAATTTTTTATTCCTTTCCCCCTGACAATTTGGAGACTTATTATAGATTGGGGTAGGGTATGAGGGTCTTGAAGTCATATGGCAACCCTATGGTTCAGCATAAAATCAAATGAATTTCTTACTAGATTATTATTCAATCTTCTTGTAATGTTTTATTCATTACTAGCAAAATATGTTGTAAGTAAATAAAAATGCCAATTGAAAGAGGGGCCCAGAATTGTAGTTGGCCCCTCTTGTTTAAGGCTGTGGCTATTCCCACTTCATTAAGCAAACTGAACTTGTTGCATACATATACAGCCAATGCTTCATATAGTATAATAAACAGCACCAGGACATTTGAATGATGTTTAATATAAGTTGCAGAAGTGACAACACTCAAAAGAAGTGTGATGAATGTACCAATTTTCCATTTTCCCCCAGAGCGCAAACTTCAACCCCCAAATAACATTTAGAGGGCATGAAATTCTTAAATATTAAGTTACAAAAAAACATTAATGGATCGTGAAATTTTGCACTAACACACCCAGGCCGAATGAGATTTACCGCCTTCTGAAGCCAGTTAGGAAGAAATCCTAACAAACTTCACTAGTGTGTTCTCAATTACCAAATTCACTCTGATAATTTTTCTTCAACATTTTGACCACCGTTGACAATTTATATAGCGCATTATGTCCTATCACAATTAATGTCTACCACTCTCTTTGCTGACAAACTTGTCCTCTCACCTTTAACAGCAGTAGGAAGTGTTTTCACATCAACTTTCTTCATCACCACACTTATCTTTCACCTCGGAACAAAAAAGTTTTACCAGGAAATTGACTGCTTCTGAGATGAGAGGGATGTACAAGTGAAAAAAAAAATGAATCTCAGAATATATGACTATCATTCTTTATTAATTCTTATCAAAATTTATTGTCAAGGGAAAAACTCTTCCATTTTATGAAAAATCTCAAACAAAAATTAACTTTTAATTCAGCTATCAAACTCCTACTGACCACCATACACATACATACATACACCCACACACACACAAAGCATAACATAAAATAAAAGTGTCTCGGTTCCAATTTCTGCAAAGATAATATTTGAAATGAGCACTCAGAAGTGCTAAAATTCAAAGTGACAAAACAAGACAAGAAAGAAATGATAAAAGAAAGAGAAAAGGCTTTCAATACAGGACAAAATTCAGGTTTAATACATTCCCAAGCTATCCACATTATAGGTTCTTTGCAAACACATTAAATCCAATCTCAAAAGACTTGAATTATGATTTGGTTTCGTGTTTTAAGCACACCTTTAAATGCTTGCCTCTTATTACATCTTTCAACGGTTTTTATCCACACTGGTTATTGAAATTTGATTGGATAACAATTCTTAAGATAAGATACACAACTGATCTTAACATAAGATACACAACTGATAATATGAAATTATCTCATAATAAGAAAAAGGTTTTCTAAGGATGAAGGGAAAAGTAATGTAAAAAAGCAAATCAACAAAATACAACATTCCAACTATGTTTGAAGCAAAAAGGTCTTAATGTCAACAAAGCTCTTCAGTCCGTACATCAGAGTAAGGTGAATGCCAAATACTTATAAAAATCAGTAGAAGGCCATTTAGTGCCTACCATTTTGAAAACAAACAACAAAATTACATGTTTAAGCATGTTTTTACAGTAATAAAGAGAAATGGTATTTCTGATTTTTACAAACTGATAGAAGATTGGTATGTTGATTTTTCTCTTAAAAGGTAAATCAAACAAAGACAGTATGTAATTGTAATGAACATTAATCAAATATCAAAATGTAAATACTGAAGAAAGTATTAAAGCTATAATTTTCAAACCATGAACATGACCTTGTTCACATTGCTTCATCATAACTGATGTCCCCACTTTCTCAAAAAATGATAGTAAATGGACAAAACATACATGACTCTGATCAACAAAACATCACCTAATTTACACAACTAATCAGAATTATTTTCATAATCTCACAACATAAAAATAAAACGGAACATGAATAGAATTAGAAATATATTTACTGTTTTTTGAAACTTTTCAAAATGGGATAAATATTATCAAAAGCTTCATAAATTTCTTGACGCACTTTTGCACCAGTCAACACAACTTTTCCTGATACAAAAATTAAAAGGACTATTCTTGGTTTCACCATTCGATAAATTAATCCTGGAAACAATTCAGGTTCATAACTACTAAACTGACCATGGGTAAGTACAAGGCCTTCCAATCTTATAGGGAACTTAACGTCACAGCTGCCAACCATGTTCTGAATTTTAAAGTCTAAGAATTTTGCAGGAAAACCAAGTTTTTGAATAATTCGAGCATATTTTCTTGCTGCAAGACGAGAATCTTCTTCACTCTTCGCTCCAGTACATACCATTTTGCCTGAGCTAAATATCAAAGCTGTAGTTCGAGGTTCCCGTATTCTCATGATAACTGCTGCGAATCTTTTAGGGTTATATTCCGCATTACGAGCATGCAATGCAATCTTTTTAAGATCAAGTTTACAGCATAAATTGACAGTGGATACAATATTTTGGAGCTGAGGCACTATTCCTGGATCCGCTGAGGAAGGAGTCATTGGTGTCATAGGACCAGGAGTTGCAGGCCCTAAACTTGAAGGAGCTACTATTTGACTGGCAGATGCCACCATGGGTGACATCATATTATGAGGAGTTTGAGGTTGCATCAAACTTTGAGGGGTAGTAAAGCCTGCAGGAGCATATGTGTGCATTGTTTTCTGTGGAGATCCTAAGAGAGGCATTTGCTGAAGGGGTGTGCCTTGTTGATTTTGTTGTTGCTGTTGGGCCATAGGCAAAATTTGTTGGTCCTCTTCGGGCTGGTGAAGAGGAGTCCCAATACTGGGTATACTGAACCCAGGACTAGGAAGCATTTGATCCATTTTGGAAGCTGGTAAGGGGGACTTAATATGAAATTAAAACACGGAGATGTATCGTATACACTCAGTCATTTAACACATTCACATCACAGTGCCAGTCAACTAACAAATTCATGATTCACCTTGAAATTTCCACACATCGAAGTTCACAATGCAATTGAAAATCAATTAAATAATCGAATTCTGACATCTGATATCATAACACAACTATAACCCTAGCTTGCCATTCATTATTCTTCCACTCTGATTCTTAACGGGTTTCCAGCCGGCTATTAGTTTACAGCAACGGCGTAGGACAATCATGTACACCAACAGACACAACGCTGAATCTTCACAATTCATTTACTAAACTCCCGACCACAAGTTAAGCTACCGACGCTGCCACTTGACCAACCACAATGTTAGTGATAGGTTGATGGCATCCAGAGGGTCCCCAACTGTTGATTGAACCGGTTGTACGATTGCTTTTTAGACCAAACCGTCGAATCGTTCACCAATTGTGGAGCTATTTGCGCTGTGATTGGTGGAACGCAGCTATCAAGGCGGCTCTTTCAAAATCTCGCAAAAATGGATATTTATGAATAATGTAATTAACATTTGATAAATCATAGCATTCTCAGTACACCTCGTAAGAATCGAACATAATATGCCTTATGGATCATTTAAATCATCAATACAATCATATTTTATGGCAAACTGTCCAATTAATCCGAAGTTCTCTTCCAAATGAATAAATAATAAATGCATGGAAGAAGTATATATATATATATATAT